TCATTCTTGCATACATGTATTTTTTGATAATCAAGGCCCAAATCTCGAAGTATTTGTTTAACTTCATTGTATGAGCATGTGAGTGTTTCACCGATGGGAAGTGCATCCTTCAACAGTTCTAGCATCATCGTGAGTGATTTGTTGCTCCATTTATTGAGCACCTTTATATGTAGCAGCTTAACAATGAATGATAATTTGGAATATCGCTGGCAATTCGGATACAATTCTTGTTCTGCATCCCTCATTAATCTTGCAAATGTATTTCCTTCACTACCATGAGCACCAAACAAGTTAGGATTACGACTACTAGACGCTTCCCCAGTATAAGCAAATGTGGATGGTCCACTATGTATGTCATGGATAATTTCTCGCACCTCAGTATTAGGAGAATTTGATTTCTCTGTCACACCATTGAAATATTCGTCATTTTCATTTTCCGAGGGATTACTGTCATTCAACTCAAAGTCTTCCCCATGATACACCCACCTAGTGTAAGTTGTGACAACCCCATATGCAAACAAATGAATTTCAACTTCATCTATGGTTTTTTGGATACGGTTGTTGCATCTATTACACGGACACCAAATCTTACCCGTCCCTGATTTCATATGATCACGAGCAAACATGATAAATTCTTTTACCCCATCAATTTATTGATGTAACCTTCTATTATGAAGTTGCATCCAACTCCTATCCATCCCGAAATCCCTATTACAAAGTACACAAAGACATTATCCTTCAATTCCAATATCTTGTTGCTTTCTATATGTGGTCTTAAAGGAGGAACACAACTAAATTCTTGAAGAAGTTTCACTAATATGTATATCTACTTTTGATTATGCGATTCATATCTATCTTTTGACAAACAAAAATTTAGAGATGTATTGCCAAGGCACACCACATAAAACAAATGCAAAAACAAAAGCAAAAGCAAAACATCAGGACACATAATAACATTGTTAACAATCATATCCCCACGTTAAAAAATAAATAAATAAATAATCGCAATGTTAAGTTAAATAAGGTCATAAATCAAATAAGGTCAAACCCTATAAAGAGAAGAAAGGTTTGGCAATGTTAAGTCCAAGTGTAATGGCTATAGCATACCAAATGGCTTTCTATAGGAGGCTGGTGATTACGACAGTAAAATCCAACAAGTAAAGAAAGAAAAACAAAACATAAATTGCAAACATGCATACATACACTAGAAACAAGTAGAGAAAGAAAAACATAACATAAAGC